TAGAAAACATTTTCTAAAGGAGAGCAAAAGTATAGAAACTATTCCGATTTGGATTTGGAGAGTTAACAGAGTAAGGCCGAATGTGCTGGGAAGTTTTTGTTTCAAATGCTGCTTAACTCATATAATCATAACTGATACTTCATGATAATTCATGCCCTACATATGAGCATATGTAATTACAAGTTTGTTCCTCAGGTATGGCAAGACTCTGATATTGAAAGATTGAAGTCTGTTAAATATTAACTAGCAACAATCTATTACAGTCTACATCCGTCATAGGTTTAAGCTACAAAAATACTCAACGACTACCCCCATGTACGATCAAACGTAGGCAAAGAGAAGAGGGTGTACGTGGTTGCTAACAACTTCTTGGAAGGAGACAGATGCTTGAAGGTTTCCTATTAAATCCTTGTATCTTCTAGGGGAAGAGTTTTGGGAACAAACTGTCATTTTGTTGAAATGAAACATGTAGTCATTCTCAGTCTGTCCTCTTAACTCTCTTTGGCTTTCTCTGCAAGATGACAAAATGCTAAGATTTTGTCACCTGCTCCTTCTCAGAGCCAAAGACTGCCCTAGACTTATCTTCCACTCTAGTTTGTCACAGAAGTTCTCAAGTAACGGAGTGGCCATCTAGATGAAATCACTGCATTGTTGGAGAATGGTTTCTTCTCCAAGTACACAAAGACACTCAATGATCATTCATATATAGCTTGGTGCTCATGAGGTGAAGATATAGGACCGTGTTTCTGCATGAATGCTTGAAGAAAAGCTCTCTTTCATAGCCACCATCCTTCCTTGTCCTCTTTTGAAATGCTACACTGATCTCAAGGACTAGGCTAAGGAGTTGGAATGGAGGGCAGAGATTCTGCTCACTGATATATCCCAATGCCTGACATAAAGTAAGCACTTGGCAAATAACTGTTGACTAAATGAGCAGGTTAGGTGACTTCTTTATGGATGAAGGATGGTTTATTTTAACTATAGGCTATGTCTACTAGCTCAGGCTCATCCCAACTATACTTAGAGGGAAAAAAAAAAAATCCAATGCCCAGATGAAGTTATTTTATTCAGCACTATCCTAGGCCTAAATCATCCATAAGGAATAGTTCTGAGGAAACTTGCACTGGAAAATAAATGGTCTATTAGGAACCACTTTAAAATTTCTCACCGTATGAGCTAAAACTTGGGGAGGCAGCAAAGCTGTCCATTTCTACGGAACCTGTCAGTGTCTTGCCCTGCTGATCTGATGTCAGCCTGAAGACCCCGGGGCCTAAGACTCATCACATTTTCAAAACTACAGAGCACAGTAAAAATGAGACCCAGTTATTTAAATGGCTCCAGAGAAGGGACTATTTTAGTTCCTGATTTCTGAAGTTCTAACCACGGGAAAAGTGCAGATGGTTTGAGGGTAGGGACACCAATTCTGTGAAGCTTGAGTTCATCTCCAGGTACGTCAACCAGGCCTCCTCTCAAGGTCCCAAGTGGTGAAAGGACATTTTAGTGAAGTAGACACAATGGCTTTTTTGGAGACTCAGGGTCTGAAGGGATGGGCTAGTAATAATGCATTTTTAAAACTATTCATCATCAAAGTTTCCCTTCCTTTGGGACATTCTGATGTCAGAACTGGAAAACAGACCTACTTCCCAACAAGAGACGGCCTCAAACTGACTGACTTGAGTCATAAACTTCTTTTTTGAGGAGTGGGGAGTAGTTACAATTTTAAGGAATAATTCTTTTTTTTTTTTTTTAAAGTTCATTTCTTTTTTTTTTTTTTTTTAAGATTTTATTTATTTATTTATTTGACAGAGAGAGAGACAGCGAGAGAGGGAACACAAGCAGGGGGAGTGGGAGAGGGAGAAGCAGACTCCCTGCAGAGCAGGGAGCCCGATGCGGGACTCGATCCCAGGACCCTGGGATCATGACCTGAGCTGAAGGCAGTCGCTTAACCAAATGAGCCACCCAGGCGCCCCAAGGAATAATTCTTGATCCCTAAACTTTCACCGTCTCCCCTGACATGGGAGTAGCTGATACTGGGAATTCTTTGGTTCTACAGATACTCTGAAAAAGACAGGAGCATTTGCAAATCCGGTGGTGGTGGTGGTTGGCTCAGTGAAAACAACAGTTTATTTTTTATATTGCTTGTTGCTTATCACAGCTCTTTCCATCTTGCCTATTCCGCCTCAAACATCAAGATTGCATGTGTGGAATGAAGTAGAGAAGGAGAAAAATGGGTGCTATCAATGCTTCAAGATGACCAGGTTGAAAAAAAAAAAGGTGTCCCTCTACTTTCCCCCTAAATTTATCTTTTAATGTATTTGTTCCATAGATTTAATCAGGGGCTTCCTTAAAGTTATTTAAAAGAACTACAAACATACTAACACTGACTGAAACTCACAGACCTGTGGTCTCCTTACAGAAGAGATAATGCTGAACTCTATAGGGGAGGGTCAGGTGATGTAGCCAGCAGAAGGACCCCAGCCTGGGACTCCATCTTTCATCCGTCAACAGCTTTCTTTTCCAAATGTATAAAAAGGCCACCTAAGAGCTCACTCTTTGATCCCCAAAGTGTAATATCATAAGGAATGTAAGTGCCCCTCTGGCCCTCCTGTCATCTCACCCAACCCCAGATAAACTCAGGGCCCCGTGAATCATCTTTGTACCGTAATTAAACACGCACATAGCCACATTCAAGTACAGGCAAACACCATCAACACACTTATTTTTGTGCTAATACATTTATTTCTTCATGTTGTATACAAAATTCTCACCATAGATTAACTATTGGCAAACGTAAGCTGAGCAGATGAGAAACCATGAGTACACCTGCCCCTCAGTGGTATGTCTGTATTTTCCATACATGTCTAATGACACCATTTCTGGGTCTTCCCAACGGTCATTAAGTTTAGGTAAATACACTTTGTAGAAAGAAGCATCTACTTACTGTGCTTCTTCAGAAGACTCTTGTTTTATTTTTAATGTTCTCTTTGTGACAGGTATTTCATCTGAAAAGCAAGGTTTTTGAAACAAATTATATTTTTCTAAAAATCATATTTTTCTAAGTAGCATACATTTAAGTAGAGAAGTAACTGTGTTTATTTACTGTTCATTTCATACTTTCCAATGCAAGGCTGTAATTCTAGTGTCAAATCCAATGTCAGATTTATAAATATAACTCTTATATAATGAGATGCATACATTTATATGCAAGATCAGAAACCAGCTCTACAAGTATAAAATTCTTCAAGGTCACCAGTGGATTTGTAGCTAGGAGCTTAAAGCTTAATTTCACTGCAAACATGATTTTTAAAGGAACGAGAATGAAAAATGATTCTCTTCTATTTAGATTTTCTATGTAGGTTTTACAGAGCAAATATTCCCCCCAATATCACGATCAATATACTCTGCATGTTATTATTTTCTTCCCAAAGGTTTGGGTGGAACTTAACTCTCTAGGGCAAAACCCGAATAATGGGACGCCAAAGCAATTTAGACCTTATTACCGCTTAGAAATTAAAAGGTAGCGATCATTTGGCATCAGCCCTTTTTATTCTCCCGATCTTTAAGTCTCTTACATTGCATCAGTCTTATAGTTTTATAGCTTCTTTCTTTTCTCCTTTTCCCTTTCAATATTTGAGAGATTCAAAAAAATAGCATTTATAGGAGATAATTAGCATTTAATCCTTTTTCTTTTGAATTAGCATTTTTCTCCATCATCAGGAATTCTGTAAAGCCGTGCCTGTGCACTTTTATCTTAAGCTAGGGAAGCACATTTATAGTGCCAATCCTACTTATACTTCCTTGGAGGTTGCCTCAGTAGCTCACTGGGGAGTCAGAACATTTACTTCGGAGTGAACACTCATCACATAACTTGCTCCTGCACCAGAAGCTGGACTCGGACTTCCAAACTATGAAAACCCAAACTGGAGCATTTGTTGCAAAAAGAAACAACTACCTATACCCCCTTTTAATGAGGGCACCCCAGTTTGGATTTGATGGGCAGGAGTTCTGTTTCCCAGCTACTGCCTGGATGGGATCCTTAGTGAATCTGAATTTTAAAGGAGTATGATCACCACTAAAATTCGAGTATCAGCTCTTTTCAACATAAACTGAGGCTTCTCTTCTATTTTTTGTTTGTTTGTTTGTTGTTGTTCAGACTAAAGTCTGGCTGGGGACCTTTCCCGATTCATAAACAGAAAAGTATTTGGGATAAAGGAAGGAAAAGATCGTCATGTCTAGACCATGTGCGCCAAGAGTTAACGTTCTTGGCAGTTGTCTTAGACCTAGACGGTGCGGGATATTTTAAATTGCATAGGATTCCACCTGTCACTGATTAGGAATTCTGGGTCTTCGGGAATTCTGCTCGTAGCCAGATCCAAATGACTCACAGCAAAGCACCAGCTCGTAGTTTAGGGCTAAAGCAACGATGCCCAGGTTGCCCCAGGGAGGCTGGCCGTGTGCCTTGTGCTGAGCAGCACCAGAGGATGTGCCAGGTACTAAGGACAGGTGCGCATGTAAAGCTGTACACACACACACACACACACACACACGAGGCATCACACACACGGGCTTTCTTACCCAATTCCTGATCTGTTGGATAGCCATGGAGATCCTGACTGTGGTTTCCCCAGTCCTCCTGTGGATACTCCTCCATAGCGCTGCCATCTGACCCCAGCTCCTGGTACAAGCCACTACTGTTAATAAGTACAGGCTGGCAGGGCTGAGCATCCCATCCTCCCTGACCAAACACCTGTTCCAACTGTTCAAATGTGTAACTGCTCTTTCTTTTCCCAACACCATGTTCTTTCACCCGACTGTAACACCTGCGAAGGGTCTAAGACACAAAGTCTTTTGTTATTCCTTTAAAGCTGTATTCCTCTTCCAGGTACGGACCACAGATATTAATTACTATTAGACAGACACAGACAGACAAACACAGACACATTGTTACAGGAATGCTAGATTTCAAATTCATTATTATATTAGAAAAAAAACAAAACTAATTTAGCATTTACGCAAACATGTTATAGTTCAAACAATTATTTTGCAATTGATCATCCATTAAACAACAAGAAACATTACAACATTATTGCATGTACCCCATACACATATTTTTATGCCCCCACCCCCCCTTTTAAAAAGAATAAGGGGGGAAAAAAAAAGAAAACAAGAAATACCAGCCAGCCAATAGGATGCACACCTGCCACAGAAGAGAAAGAACTGCTCTTGTGCCCAGAATTTGGAAAAAGTGAGGGAAGGGAGGACAGAAAGAAGAATTTCCCAAAGCAAAGAATATAACCATCCTTACTCCTAAGAAGGAAAACAGGGTAAACACAACTGCCTAAACGAATCAGCTAGGAAAACATTACTTACAAAGTCCATAGTCCTTACTAACTGACTCTGTCTTTAGGGAAGTTGCTACAATTTGAAGGAGGTCAAATCAGTTATGCTACAGATCCCCAGTCTTAAACATCAACTATCAAGAAACAATACACTCATTCCTACACCGGAAGATTAGCCAGTACTCATCTATTCGACCAACTCAAACTGCCAGCTAAACAAACCAACAAAGGAGGCCAATAATTTCCTCTTCTTGGTGGGGGTGGGGGGGTGGGGTGGGAAGTGAAGTGGACAGGGTATCATTTCACTTCTTTCTCTGCCTTGTGCAAATAAAAATCACTATGTGAGTCCACAGAGTAAACCTGCATGATTTTATTGTTGTGCACAACTCTTCCATTTTCTTCATGGCCTTCTAATGCATACATGAGCCCAGTTTCCTTAACTCTGTCTTACATGATATTTTAAAGGATAAATCAAGGACTTAGTGCCAGCATCCACATTTAGTTTAGTGCTGTCCAGTGTCTATCCCATCTCTGCTCCCTTTTGTTCCTTCTAACCTCCCTTCTTCTTGACTGGACTTCACTCAGAATTTTCTTGAGAGACAAGACCCTTTTTCCCTGATGGCTCCCAAATACTTTCTAACTCAACTCTGCAAAACCGGTTCACCTCAGACTTAATTTATACACATTAGCCAGACTGTAGGTTTCTCCTAAATGTGAGATTACTTTCCATAAGCTAATATATCGCATATTCTCACCAAACTAGAACAACTCCTAATAATCTTTACAGAGCTTCCATGAAGGTTCCATATCTTTAAATCACGGTTGACAAACGACAAGAAGACACTGTCAAATACTTGGCAGATCTGTCCCTGGAGACCAGAAATCCAGATGGATGAAAGGAATAATAAAAGCATGACACATAGGATGATCTTCCTCAGACATAAACAGAGCAGTGATTAGTCAAGTCACCCCGTCCGAAAACCAGCCAGCCTATCCCCTGCATAAGCACCTGCCTTTCTCCCTTTCTAGAGATCTCTTCTGGTGCTTCCAATGATGCCTTAAAGAACTGAAGTTTCTGATTAATACACTCTTTAAAAAAGTGCTCCCTCTCTTTCTCTTTGTAAAAGACAGTCACAATGACATAACACAAAACCTTCTAGAAAAAAATCAGGCATGAACTTGGGAAATGTGTCACAGGGCAACCCTTCCAATGGAAGGAGACAAATGCCTGCAGCAGATCTCATTTGACTTTCTATATACTCCCCTTTCCCAGTGCCCTCTGCCCTCCTTGCAGGGACTGGAATTTGAATTGCAAACATCTCCTGCCAATTTATTTTTATCTCACAATGTCTAGTTTCTGCCTCCAAGAACACCCCAACCACTCTTTTCAAGTCTTCCAAGGACCGTACATGGAGAGTCCCAGCCGTGTCCCTTTTACCCTTCCAAGGCCATAAATGGAGATACCGCTGCTCACCACTTCCTGGCTGCCTAGAGAAAAGCACGCAGCACACAAAAGAGCCCAGTCGGATCTGTCACTGAGGGGTATTTCAGAAGTCAAGGAATAAAACTGATGCTCCTTTGAAGAAAGGTGCGGCCCTTATCAGGATGTGATATGGGCATAAGGCAAAGCCACCAACCTTTGACAATATACATGGTGGGAAACCACAGAAAAGATTTACTTTCTTCGAAACCACCAAATTGAGCTTAAAATTTTCCTTGGCTTATGTAATTGCGAATAAGGAAACCAGCAATATCTAGTGATTTTAGATACAGAACAGTCAGAGGATACATTCTCTATTTCATCAAAAAGGACTAAGAGATCTTGCCATCTCTTTCTTCGTGGTATACTTTTGTAATACACTTTAATAGTGTAATGTGCTGATACGTAAAATATCTATCCGGGGCCTGCAGGAAAAATGTTTGGTAATTCCTAAATCCATATGATCATAGGAATTTGATATGTTGAAATAATGTTCAAAAGATTTCCAGATTGACTTTAACTCTCTCAAGACATAAGTACACATAAGAGATACCTTCTGGGTTCAGTAAAAGATCCACAGATCCAAGGAGAGGCTGTTTGAATAGGGACACATCAACTAAGATAGAAAAAAAAAAAAAAAGTGAGAACTCAAACATGAACTTGACCACCACTACAGGAGACAATGGAATTCAGCGGAACTGCAGGGACTTTAGAAAGGGATAAAAGGAACATATGGAGACCTTCCAATCAGAAAAAGTTACACTTCCCACACTCTAGATGATGAACCAAAGCAGGCAATTAAATGACTGTGTGTCTATGTCAACAGTCCTAAATAAGCCAACTTAAAAACCTACTCTAAATCTGAGATTAAGAGAATGCTCCAGAATCTAGGAAAAATAAAATCTCACCTCCCATTTCAGACAGCCATGCCAAACCCAACAAGAATCTCAGTTTAGCTTTCTTAGAAGGCCATTTCCTACTCAACACAAATACCTCACTGCCCTTCCTTCTTTCTTGACCTCACTAGTCTTAGAAATGTATGGTAATTTAACCTCTAGCATTTTTTTTTTCTTAAATTAAGATCTCGGGGGGCGGGGGAAGAATTTGCTTAAAATTATTAAAGACCAGTCTAGTCACAATTGAGAATAACACTTTCCTTATCGCTAGAAATTTCCACGGTAAATCAATATTACAATCTCCTCCCTGGGGAAGAGGAGGGAGATAATACTGTATCTTGAATGCAGGCAGAGGGACAGAAGTCAGGAGCAGTCAAGACAATCTGGAAAGAAGAACTAAAGGACAGGTAACAACTTGATCAGTGGTCAAATCAGAGGAGTTGGGAGGTATCCGGTTTGGAAGAAATGCCAAGTGTTTAACGACTCCAACAGGAAAAGAACCAGCGAAAAGACTTGAAGGATCGTCCCATTACCAAAGCAGGGAGGAAAGTAAGATGGCTGACAACTGCTAATTTATAGACAGAGGGAAAGTTTCCCCAAAGTTTAAGACTGGGGTGAAAGGAAATGAGAGAATAAAGATGACATTCATTGTGGATGAATGTAGGGGGGGAGTCTTTGGGAGAGGGGGGCAGGTAAACAAAGGCAGGAGTTTGAGATTGGCGGGATTGGGGGTTGAACGGCAGCAATGCAGAGAAAGACCCAGGGTTACAGTACACGTAACATCAAATACAGTGCACAGTGCAGCTGTCTTGCCAAAGTAAGTCAATCCAGTATTGGGCTGTGCAAGCAGAGGAATCACATGTAAGCTATGAAGGTGGCTCTTCCTTTCTACTCAGCACCGATGAGGCCACAGCTGGAGCACAGCGTTCAGTTCTGGGCATCGAACCAGCTACAAGAGAGGGAAATTGCAGAGTTCAGAAAAGGGCAAATAAAATAATGAAAGGCTTGGAAAATAAGATCTACAAGTAGGGCCAGTGGTCTCATCAAAGCCCTTCCTGACATTACGTGAGCTACTTTGGGGGTAAAAAAAATAAGGTGTCTTTCGCTCCCGTGTCCTCCAGTCCTTCCTTTGACTTTCGGGAAGCGGGAGGAGTTGAATTCCTTCCAGGAAGCAAACTCAATGAATCATACGGGCATATGCCCACCAATTCTGCTACTGGCTCAATCATTTTCTCAAAATTTGCCCCATTTCATACAATCATAAAATAATCACCATGACAAAACCACCGTTCTAACCGAACTGACTACAGGTGGGACAGGGTCTGTAATAAGGAGGAACGGAAATAAGGCATAATAGCTACATAAATGTGTTGTTTAGGAAACACTGGCGTGATCAATCTAAGACATCAGATGAAAAACAAAGTCAAACTGCAAGGCAGGACAGCTTAGTCATAATAGCAGGAAACAATGTTATAAGAAAAACAAGCAGTGAAACAGATTTTCAAACGTAATTGTCAAACTGGCATAACTAGAAATGGATTACATAGTTGCTCTTAACCCTCTGGCAACTCAATGATAGATTTGAGATTTTTTTAAAACCCAAATGATTACATACAGAATATACTTATTTGCAGTCAGAGTCTTAAAAATCACATGTTCTATTCCACAAGCGATAGGGGAAATTATCCTGGGGGCAAATCTCCAATGACTAATTGTTTATAAAAGTGTTAAAAACAATACCTCAGCCTAAGAAGATGTGTATTTTGAAGCAAAAAAGGTCCTTGTGAAATACATCTATCTTCTTCCTTTAAAGTTACCGCTTTAGGGCACCTGGGTGGCTCACTGGGTTAGGCATCTGTCTTCGGCTCAGGTCATGATCCCAGGGTCCTGGGATCAAGTCCCACATCGGGCTCCCTGCTCAGCAGGAAGTCTGCTTCTCCCTCTGCCCCTCCCCCCTGCTTGTGCGCTCTCTCTCAAATAAATAAAATCTTTAAAAAAGTTATTGCTTTATTGTAACTGTTAAAACAAGTTGCTCTTAGTTAAAGAGGCAACAACAGCAAAAAACCCACTGAGTTTCTTTCAGTATCTTTTAGAGATTCGAAATTTCTTTAATTATTTTTAGTTTCTTACTGTGAGCACAAAAGGTGGAAAATAAAAAAACCCGAAACAGGGGGCATAAGCAAATAAACACATTTCTGCACACAGTAAGAGGGATGTTATGAGTACAGCACATATTATTACATGTGTCTGTATATTACATGGAGCTGTAACTAATGATTAGGAAGTCTCTCAAGGCAAAAACCATCTGGGGCCCGCAGAAGTTTTACCACCTATTTTCTTAGGTTTTCCATCAAATCTGGCAAGTGGATTTGCCAATCACCTAAATCCCTTAAAACCAACCAACCCTAAACCCCAACAAATCAAAATCAAGACCAAAAATACAGCACTTGTTTCACACTCCCCCACTTCTTAGCGCTACAGAGGAGGTTTTGGCAAGTGAAAGATCTTTTTATTCTTAAACTTTCCTTTTCCTCTCCAGAACAGAGGCTCTTAAACTTTTTTGGGTCATGGATCCCCTCCCCAGAAAAGCGCATATATGAAACTGTTCCATACAATTTCAAGGGGAATGTGGATTCTCTGAAGAGCCCATACAAGAACCCTGGGTTAAAAAGCTGCTCTCTACCATGGTGTGGTTTCTTCCATAAAAGAACAGAATGGGTATTAGTCAGAAGCCCTAAAACAAGGTAGACTTAAGTTGTGTATTAGGTTTTACAAGAAAGTCTAAAGATTGGGACAACCAGTTTAAGGACAATTTAACCAGTTTGCTCCGTATCCTGCTCATTTAGATAAAGCAGCATTAATATTTCCTTTAAGAGGTAAATTAGCCAAATTCCCCTGCTTTTGGAAAGAAACAATTCCTAGCAGTAAAAACATACAAGGATATCAATTTACTTACTCATCACAGAAATACAGCACTTTTTCCCCCCACCTCCTAGGGAAGAAATCTTTTTCTGAAGTGGCAATTAAGCAATATTAAGTGATTCATAAATTATGCCGATTATCTGTTCCAATTGAATCACATAATACATGATTATTCATTATCTGATTCACTTATCAATACAGATGCTAGATAAATTACCTAAGGTGACAACTTACAACAGGGACATTCACACATCTAGAAACAAGTATAGGAAAGGAAGTCTTGACTACTTTCCTTAGTAGTCACAATGGCTAAGCTTTAGCATCCTCCCATTTTAATACTGCCTAAAGACCAACGGGTCTCAAAGAAATAGGCAGTGTCTACACTAGTTAGTCCTTACGCAACGGACTAAGGGACTAAGTCTGATCTATTATTCTGCTGAAATCGTTCATATCATGGTGAGCAGTGTCTTAATTACTAAGAAGAATGACCCTCAAACTTTGTCCTTAACTCTTTTGAGCACTTGACACTATTCATCACCTGTCTATATCACTATCCTTGCCAGATAATCTCTTTTGTAAGACATTATATAATAAACTGATTGGCAGCGGGTGGGTGGAGCTGCCCAAGGCTCTAAGAGCAAACCATGTTCCAGCTTCCAAAATATTATGGATGTTTTGAATGGAAAAGAACCTCAGAGATCATGTAGTCCACCTTCCTCACTTAACAAATGAGGAGACAAGGACCCAAGACAAATAAGTATTCCTTTGAAAGGGATTTGGCAAAAAAAAAAAAAAAAAAGAAAAGGTACCAAATGCCACTCACATGTGAATGTTCCCTAAGAGAACTATTCCTTAGATCATAAACTCTGGGAGGTAGGAATTATGTCTGCCTAGTTCATGGTTTCCCTGAGCCCAGAATAGTGCCTATCACATAAGGGTTCAATATATATTTATTAAGTAAATGAATTAAGGTGATTTTAACATTGTAAATCACTCGCAAGAAGATCAATTTTTTTCTTAGTGGGGAAAATTAGGAAACTCACTGTATAACCACAGTGGTGTATTATATTTATAGAATCAATAAATCCAAGGTAGGTAAGGCTCCTACTTGAAAAAAGCAGGAGCAGAAAAGGGTCTGAAACATAGATACAGCTGTAATTAGCAAAGCAAATTCCCTTTGTAACCAAGGGAATAGGTGCAGAGGGCAAGGACTATTTTAACAAATATCTACCATTCTTGTTGTTATACTTTTCTTTGGGTGGGGGAGGGGTCACCCACCAAATAGAGCTCTGTCGCTCCGTCCAAATTTGATTATTTCTTATGCCTTACAAATTAAATAAATAAAATATTCAAGGATATAAAGTAGAGTAGAAAAGGAAAAAAAAGACTCAATTGTTTCCTGGATTCTAATAGGGCAAACAGGAGAATGACCACCAGAAACCAAGAGATCTTACCTCTCTGGAGCCCCAGTCTCTGTGGGGAACTGTCCAGGATTGCATTTTTTCAGCTTGCACCACATTCCAAATCTGGCTACGAACGACTCACTTTTGTGTCTATAACTGGTCAGTACTGTCTTCATGAGGGAGATTCTTATGTGGAACAAATAATTCAGGAGATTTTGATCCTCAGTGAGCATCAGCTCCTCTAAGTTTTCTAGGTTCCTCCATGCTAGCAGGTGAGGGTTTTGTCCATTCAGATTATGAAGAAGAAAAGCCCTCAAGACAATTTACCAATTGTCGAAAACAAACATTTTCCATTGCCCAGGGAACTATATTCATAGGACCATAAATTTTTAACCCTATGCTGTAGGTAAATCATATGGGTGCTCATACAATATCTCCTATCGGCGGCAACACCGTACAAGCATTACCTAGTAAGTGTAGTCATGCTTAAGGGCTTCTTTGGGATACGAGAATCCTAGGCATGAAATCCTCAAGTGCTGCTCTATTTAGAACAAGACAGGTCAAAAAATTAGGGCTTACTGAACTACTTAACTATTTCAGACATAAGCAGCAACAGATAGTTATAGTCATCAAAGACAGTCATATACCACTCTTTGTCTAGAACTTCCTCTCCATCTAAATGGGGGGAAAGCTCAGTTGTTTGGTAAAGAATTAACCTGGATTAGGTTATTTTCACCTGAACTCCTCCATCACTTCTGAAGTTGCTGTATTAGCATCTCTGTTAAATCTTTTTCTCAGTACTTCACACCCTGGGGCACCACCTCAAAGTGGTATTCAAATGATATTTAAAATGTTAACTTTTATTAATATGTGAGAACTAAAAAAAGCATATTCAAGAGAGTTATCTAAAATATTTCAAGGATGGCAGGGGAGAATCATTCATCCGTAAAGGCCTCCCACACAAACATCCTGCACTGCACACTAACCGGTCCATAATTAAGAACTACACATACATGCACACACACATTACAAAAACACCTCACACAGTTTTATCATTACAACGTTGTACTGCTTCCCAAACACAGGGTACTTTCTGCTAGTAACGAGACCAATGTTTAAAAGGAAAATGGTGCAGAGCAGTTCCCCCGCCAAAACAATAAGCCACCTTATTCCTTTCATGTGAACCATGAAAGTTTTGTAGTTTTCTTACTAAAAACTACCATCTATTATGCAAAGATAATCTATAATACAAATTCTTTCCCTTAGTAAATTTTGCATATTTGATTGTGACATCCAGACAAAATCATCTAAAAAGTAAGGTTATTAGAAATCCTCCATCATGGTATCTGGTTAGTCTTGACTGAATCTGGGACAAGATTCAGACAATTGTTTTAAAAAGGGTAAATACTGAATTAAAGTTGACCCTTGAGCAACACGGATTTGAACTACAAGGGTCCACTTACCCATGAATTTTTTTTTGACAAATACATTACTGTAAAGTTATTTTCTCTTATGATTGTGTTAATATTTTTCTCTAGCTTATTTTATTGTAAGAATACAGTAAGAATATTGTAAGAATACAATACATAATACATGTAACATACAAAATATGTCAATCAACTGCTCATATTATCAGCAAGTCTTCTGGCCAATAGGTTATTAGTAGTTAAGTTTTTGGGGAGTCAAAAGTTATACCCAGACTTTTGACTGCACAGGGGGTTGGTGTCCCTAACCCCCATGTTGTTCAAGGGTCAACTGTACTTCAAAAAGTGGGTTTTTGGGGGTTTTTTTTGCATTTCCATGGTGTAAACTACAGATCATAAATGCATGAAAAGAACACATATTCATATGCTGACAAATACCTTTTCTATGAAAGACCTGAAAATAAGCATGTTTTAAGTTTATGCATTTGTCCTTGGGCAACCTGAACTTACTTAGGAAGTTGTTAGAAAGAAATTCAGGCAATCATAACCCTTTTTATAGCTCATTTGGTAGCATTTTTATATTTACTCTTACCTTTATGAGGATTGCTAAAAGCAATAGCTATATGAAAAATGCAGTCTACAAAAATCAAACATTTTCCATATGTGGCTCAATGTCCCATGCAATGAAGGTAAAAACCGTAACTACCATTTTTCTCAGTGCCTACTGTACGCCGAGATTTGGGCTAAGCAGTTTATACTTATTATTCCTAATGTTTACTTTAAGGCTAAAGGAGAGGGTCCCAGGAAACAGTCTGAGAAGTCAGTGCAGCAGACTTACTGAGGAGGGCTCTTGAGAACACCCGTGAGAGACTGACCAGAACAGGGTTGGGCAGACAAAGAAGTTGCAACAGAGGCCTCAGCTAACCCAAAGTGAGGTGTGGGAACTGGGATGAACCTTCAGAGTTGTCCTAACTGGGGCAAGGAGGCTGTACCTTGTAATCCAGCCACTGGATTCAGGCTGCCCTTGGGGAGGGAGCCTAACCTTGGGAGAGACAGCTCCCTTGGGCAAACGGAACTTCCAGGAAGTCACCTGGAAGCCTTGGCCAATCATTGCTCCAGGCAGCCTGGGGGTGAGGGTGGGGGGAGGTAGACTGACTAGCTGACTGGTGTCTCATTCCTGGAAGAGGGGTCTGGGTAGTGTATCACATGTATATGAAAGCTATGTGATACATCCCTACTTAACTGAATAGAGAACTAAGGGAAAGGTAAGAGCTTATCCAACGTCACTATCAGAGCCCCTTTAACGTAAATTTAGGTTTCAAAACTAGGACCTGGTATTCCTCTCTTCAGTGGACATTGAAAAGTATAGAAAACCAGTGTATTTACCTTTTTGCCATAGTTGCCAGGAAGTTTATATAGAGCTCATTTTAATATTTAGCGCAAGTAACCATATTTACCTGGGTTACTCCCTACACTCGCTGATTTCTTATTTTTGAATTCTATTTTTAGCTTTCTTCATATACGTCTACATTTTCTTTGGCACATTTACATTATATATTACAAGCAGCCCATCTCATCCTCATCATCTCTAAGAAGAGTACCTAAACCATTTACACATTAGGTGAATGATGGCAGGCTTAGGTAATGGACACTCCATGGCCTCCTTTTGGTAAACCACATCCTTACCTGCTTTTACTGCCAAAAAGTAATTCTACTTTGTAAATTCCTTCTGCAGTTCAAACTTACTTCCTTTAAGAGGAGTTGGTAGTTCAATAAATACCATCATTTATATAAAGATGTGAGTGAACTGAGTCTTTGACAACAAAAGCCTTATTTATGTTTCAATACCTGTTGTAAACTCTTCCTTGGGACTTCCAAATCAAATGTTTTTCACTGTGCTTATAATCTTAGGACACCATGAATTACCTGCAAGAATTTTTAAAACTTGTGTTTTCCTTCTACCTTAAGTAACATGTATGAGCATAAGAACATCCATCTGTGTGTTGCTATGTGTCTTTGCTATTGCATTTGATTGTTTATGATCACATTGTTGCCAAACACTTCAATTGTCAACATTTTTAAAATGTGGGCTGATGATTCATAAAGGGGTTAATATAAACAAGTGGCTAAGAGCATGGCAACAGACTGCTCAGTCTAACTTCACCACCTGCTAGCTTTGTGACATTAGATGAAATAATCTCACTGTGCCTCAATTTCTCCATCTGTTAGGTGGGGCTAATGACAGTACCTCCATCACAGATGTGCTGTGAGTGTTCAACGAAAAAATACAAACAGAGCACTTAAAGCAGTGTCTGCCTAACAGCTTGTATTGAATAAATGTTGCCATCATAACAAAAATGATAGTCACACCACATGGAGACCACTTGTAAATGAAGGTTAGTTCAAGCAGGAAAAGGTAGCCCCAAAGTTTTATCAAAAAGTCAGCATCAGAATCTGGAAAGCAAGTAAGTTTCAGCTAAACCACATCATCCAATGTTAAAGGAATGCCAGCTTGATTTTCTGATTTTTAGTTTTATTGGTATGTAGAAGTATTTTAAAGTTCTTCTTGTTTGATAACATGTGAGATCTGTGTTATACCTAGATTTAGGTTTGTTATGTATTATGTAACGTTGTTGCATAAACATGCTTTAGATTATTCAAGTTTTCAGAAACACCTGGCTATACCAGCAGAGCTTCTTTAACTTTTTGTTAGTCTTTCCTCTTTATAGATAAAAGCCAATCATTTAACTATTTTCAAAGGTCTGTAGTCTTGGCAAGAATATGGTGACTAACACTGACATATAAAGAAAAGGGGAGAAAAGGAATCCTAACCACAGGAATAGGCCTTACTCATCGGGCAACCTGCTTACGAGAAGCAGGCAGACAGAACAGCATGAATCAAATAATAAGTATGAATGACCCACATATTTTCTTGGAGTTCAATGGAACAAAAAGCATGTGCATCTCTCATTCTTTTTTGGTGCATGAAAATTTACTGGAATTAAAATCATGGAGCACCTGGGTGGCTTAGTCAGTTAAGCATCCGACTCCTGGATTTGGCACAGGTCCTGATCTCATGGCTTGTGAGATCACACCCTGCTTCAGGCTTCAGGCTTCAGGCTCTGGGCTCAGGGAGAATCTGCTTGGATATTCTCTCCCTCTGCCCCTTCCCCCGCTCCCTCAAATAAATAAATCTTTTTTTTTTTAAATCAGATTCACCACTTTTTGAAAAATAACATTTCATAGATATGTAATTATGCTACCATGAAGTTAAAGTATTTCCACTGATTTTTCTTAATTTTGTAATGTGGTTTATATTACTTATATAAGGAAAAATATTCTTTTATACTGTTCAAAAACAAGCACAACTCTGATCCCTCAAAGTCCAACTATTAACCATGTCTCCTAATTTGCAAAAGAGAGAAGGGACATTACCTGGTTATGCAGGAGACTGAACAGGGGTGCTCATTATCTAATGACTGAATGAATATGAACAATGTTGTACTTCGCTGCTTCATGGGGCAAACCTCAGTGACAACTGGACATATCACAATAAAAAGGCCTAATATAAAATCATGTAACTCGTTCTTAATAAAGAAAAGGCAAACTGAACCTTTATGACTAACATACAATGAAAGATAAGAGCTCAAACATTCCAAGGCGCCTGGCTGGCTGAGTCAGCAGAGCAAAAGCGACTCTAGATCTCAGTGAGTTCAAGCCCCATGTTGGGCATGGAGCCTACTTAAAAAAAAGAAAAAAAAAGAGCTCAAATATTATAAGGTCGATAAGGCTGATATCTAGTAATATCATGTTTGAGTGGTCTTCTTTCTATTGTGCTAATTGTTTTGAATTGCATTATTTTAAATATCACATTGGTTTCTACCAGAATGTAAGCTCTTTGAAGGCAGGGGTTTCCTTCGATTTTGTTTGCTGATATATTTCCAGCACCTAAATCAATGCCTGGCATGCAGAAGCAGCTCAGTAGATTTTTTGCTAAATGAATGAATGAATGAATAAATGAATGAATGAATAAAAATTCCTTAAGATTTTATATGGCAATTGAGAAATCAAATAGGGGCGCCTGGGTGGCTCAGTCGTTAAGCGTCTGCCTTCGGCTCAGGTCATGATCCCAGGGTCCTGGGATCGAGCCCCGCGTCGGGCTCCCCGCTCTGCGGGAAGCCTGCTTCTCCCTCTCCCACTCCCCCTTCTTGTGTTCCCTCTCTCGCTGTGTCTCTCTCTGTCAAATAAATAAATAAAAATCTTTATAAAAAAAAAAGAGAGAGAAATCAAATATAAGGTTGAGGTTCTTTTTGACCTATCACATCTTCTTTCTAAATCATAAACCAGCTCCTTCTATTTTAGAGAAAGTATCTGTAAATTTAAAATAATAATAATAAAAGCAGTTTTTGATAGATATGAACTTTATTCTGGTTTTATTAATATCAATTACAAACATAATTGACTTATTCGAATAAATGAAGAAATCTGAAGGTAGATATTAGAGAAACAATATTGTGAGTTTCAAAAATTCAGGCTATTACAACAAGATATGTCTTACACAGGCTGAGAAAATGCAACCAGGAAACATATCTAAGTAAATAACTTCCATTCTGTTGTTTCAATTTGTATTGAATGAAGTATTACTTGGTAGCTCAAAATATGTAATTTATGACTACAGCCAAGAACACATATATAAAAATAAAATAATGGCTGTTAAAAATGTCTGAGAATAAACACAGGTTTGTATTTTACTAAGGAATAACAATACATCCCACTAAGTGACAAGATAACACTCGCTTGATTAGTGCCAAGAAAAAAAAAAAGTATTTCCATTGGCTCTCAAGGACTCTCTCAGCTACAAGAGGTAAGAATTAAAACAGATTTAAATACATGCCTTTTTCCAATACGCATTTTCCAGTGATTTAGAACAGTAGGGGGGAAGACTCCGCATAGATTACAAACTCCAGATAATTTGTAACATATGCATACGAGGCACAGATTCGTTAAGCATTCATTCTGAACACTGAATGAAGTTTTTGCTACGGTCAATAGCAGGCAGACGACCACACTGCATGAACCCCACAACAGAAATAAGATTAAGGAGTACCTAATAATCACAGCAATCCTAACAATCAACTGTTTAAAATCTAAAGCTTTATGGTACTGGTCCTTGTTTTTGAAACTTAAGACATTTTTCCTCCCATTTTTAAACCTTTTTTAAATATTACATAGATTTAACCTTTGAAAAGGGAAAAAAACCCACTATTCTACCTGATATGAGCATACTTCAGAGGGCCTGTATGACAATTAACATCTGAAATTGGAGATGTGACTTTTAGTTTTTTTGCCCTCTGGTAATGTTAGAAAAAAGAGGCGGGGCGGAAAGAAGGCAGGATCATCACTTCCAAAGCTCAGGGAGATCAGAATCCAAGAGTCTAGAATATATCCTCAAGGTAACATAGACAGGGCTGTGCTGAAATGGTGTTTTAGTTGGATCTCACTGGGTTCTAGAACCAACTCTAAAAACTTAGGTTATGAAGCACTGTGGTGATCTCTGAGGACTACAACAAAGAATCCTGTGCAAGCTGGTAGAAGTTGTGTGCTAGGTTAAGATCTATCAAACCCTAGAGATTAGAATTTTCAGATTCCCCGAACAGCCTCGCTGATTTGGGTGTATCTGAAATCTACTATCTTCTCTGTTTTCATAACCACTGTTTTATTGCACTTCTCGTCAACTTACTGCTAAAAGCCTCTAAATGATCTCTGTGCTTCCGGTCTCACCCTTCCCAACTCATTCTCCACATCACAGCCAGTCCAAACCCTAAGGCTAACTATGTCCATTCCCCAGCTTACTGCTCTTTGATGATTAGGGTAAAGTCGAAACTCCTTAGTACATTATCTCACTTCTTGTTTATGTCTCCAGTCTCATTTCTTATCACTTCCCACCTCCTTCCACTCTGTTCCCACCAACCCTAGGCTCCAGCTCTCTAGAACTACACAGTACAAAACATTTCACCAGAATATCTGGGACGTGACCTGTTGCAAATTATGATGTTTCTGAAGTTCTGATACCTTAAATCTAAAAGAGCACAATGACTGAAAATACCTTGATCTCACCTCAGTATCTTCTAATCTTCTTTTATCTAACTGCAGGTTATGGCCCATTAGTGGGTTGGGTTGGGAAATCAATTTTAGTAGGTTGTGACCACCTTTCTAAATGCCCCAAGTGGAAGATGAAGAGACAGAGCACAGGGGATCAAGAACTGTTGTGGGGAAGAGGACCCAGGGGCAGTGAGAGGGAGTCTAGGGAGACAGGGGGTGAATGGGGAGCTGGGACAGGTTAGAGGGGGTGAGTACAGGGGAGGAAGGCTTGAAGACTGCCAGTGGGGGTGGGGGGGAGGATTAGCCGAGCCTGTGGGCACAGGGCACACATGTAATAACGGAGAGGCATCGTGTCCCACACCAGGTGTTGGCGTACATCAGTGGGGTCACGTCAAGCAAACCAGGGGTATCCCTGGTCTACTCCATGCCCTCCCAGAATGTGTCCCTGCGGCTGCAGGGCCTCCGGGAGAAAGACTCTGGGTCCTACCGCTGCTCTGTGAATGTGCAAGACCACCAAGGCATCAAAAGGAGCCACAGCAGCAAAACTCTAGAGCTCAGGGTGCTGGGTAAGTGAGAAGCGCACACTTGGCAACACCTTCCCCAGCCCCAGTGGAGGCCAGGCAGCTCTCTCTCCCAAATGGCTGAGCATAAAGGTTGGAGGAGGGCAGACAGAGTGACAGAAGGGGGGGGGTGTGTGTCTGGGGGTGGGTGGGAGGGATCTGTTGGTCCCTTGGGGTTGAGTTTTTAACCTGTTTCCCTGCTCCAGTTCCTCCAGCTTCTCTATCCTGCCATCTCCTGGGCGTGCCCTGTGTGGGGACCAACGTGACCCTGAGCTGCCAGTCCCCAAGGAGTAAGCCAGCTGCCCAGTACCAGTGGGAGTGGGCACCCCCATCTGCCCAGGTTTTCTTTGCACCAGCTTTAGGTGAGGGAGCTTGAGGCTGTGGCTGGGGAAGGGAAAGATGAGAGGCACCAGAGGGACTGGGGTGAAAAGGGCAGGCAATGCTGCAAAGTCCTGGGGCAGAATTGGTGGAGGAGGAGGAGGATGTAGGGAGGGGACTGGAGAAAGAGAGCCTACCAGACAGGCAATGTGTTGGGTGCTTTCAGATACTGTATACTTAGAATACTCAAGAGGACATATGGCCTAGTGGTTTTGAAGCTAAATTACCTGTGCTCACATATAACAGAACATACCAGAGTGTACTACACATAGTTAAGAAGAATATCATTTTGTGGATTAAGTAAATGAGTATTTGTGAAACACTTCCAACAGTGCATGGCATGTGACAAATGTTATGTAAGTCTTAGCTATAATCATAATTCTGTGAAAGTGTTTCAGTTACACATATATATCATGGGAATATTAGGCCACAGGGTAAAATATATGTCTTCCTATTGTATGTTCAAAAGATGCACTGCTTTGGTTTTTCTTTCCAGTATATAAGAATGAGATATATAATAGATATTTGCACAACTACAATCCAACACTATAAAAAGGTTATTTATCAAAACGTAGGAATGCCTGGGTGGCTCAGTCGTTATGCGTCTGCCTTCAGCTCAGGTCATGATCCCAGAGTCCTGGGATCAAGCCCCGCATCGGGCTCCCTGCTCAGCGGGAAGTCTGCTTCTCCCTCTCCCATTCTCCCTGTTTGTGTTCCCTCTCTCGCTGTCTCTGTCAAATAAATTTAAAAAAAAAAACAACAACCATAAAACTGTCTAGAATTGGTATGCGCACTCTACTGTTATTCCAAAACTACCTGCTCCACCTTTTTCTTGGTTCTTAAGGACACCACCAACTAGTCATTTGTAGATTCTAAGTCCTACCTTCACCAAATGCCATGCACTATAACAAATTGTTCTTCAATTGAAATGCATGACTTCGTAAGTAACTTATCACTTATAAATTTTTTTAACAACTACAGCATTTAGATGTTTCCAGTTTAGGATTCTTGAATAAAATATATTTTGCTGTATTTGCGGTTTGCACTGTTCTGGGTTCTGCATTTTCTGGCCTTTTACCCCAACCGCTCATCTCTCTCTACTTTCTTCTGCTCAGTTTGGTCCCACTTTACCTTCAAGACCCACCTCCTGAAAGTCTATGATGACATGCCTTTCCTGTGTGCGCCCGAAGCACCACGAACTTAACGTCAACATGCAACACAGACCTTACTCACAATACCGTAACTGGTGCTTTAGTAGTCTGACTCCTTCAGTGGAAGGTGGACACTTGATGGTAGATGGTACCCTGCTGCATGTCTAAAGTCTACCATGCAAGGTACTCAAATATTTGTGGGTGAATAATAAAAAAAAATCAAGTGCCTATTTCACACTTAAGTATTTGGAGAAACCCTGTGATCAGTCTGTCAGTTGAGTCTGATGAAAGGGATGGGCAAAATCTCCAAATCTTCCCACAGATTCTTGCACTTTAGCCAAGAGTTAAGCTCCACAGGTTTCTCCCGTTTCCCAAGGGCAGTGGAATCCAAGGGCCCAGCCCCACTATGTCTGCCAAGAAAGGTATCAGAAAGATGCTCAGAGTTCTAATGCAGTGGCCTCCCACTGGGGTATCCCTACTCTTCCTTTAATGATTAATCAAGGCACCTTAAAACCTTAGGGATTCCTGGCATTCCCAGTCTGGTCCATTATTTCTTAGGTGGAAAGCTTGGCCCCTTAATTTAGAATAACTAAAGCAAAATAGGCTAGTGATATTGTTTCTTTTAAATATAAGTGGAATATTGTCTGATGACCAACATTTTCAAGATGCATTTGACAAAATCTACAGAAATGAATTTTGTGTGATTTTTCTGATTCAGAGTACATTACTGAGTAAATTTACAGCCAATCCTCACATCTTATTCATCTCATCCTAGATTTACTATTTCCTATATCCTATTAACTTCCTATAAACTTTCATATATAATGAAAAAATTTTAATGTCAGCTTTAAAATGTTCAAGAGAGTACAAAGACTCTTTTGGGAGTACATAAACAAAAAAGTTTAAATACCAGTATTCCAAAGCTGTTCTGGCCAATACAATAGCCATTGGCTAGATATACATGACTATTTAAATTAAAATTAAATAAAATTAAAAAAAATTTTAAATAAAATTAAAAATTCAGTTTCACAGTCACACTAGCCACATTTCAAGTATTCTATAACCAGCTATGGCTAGTGGTTACTGCGCAGTGACTGATGGACAGTGCAGACAATAAGACACTCATATCACAGAAAGTTCTATCAGATGGCATCGTCCTAGTTCAGAACCAAGAATAGGACACTCTTTGCCCCAGCCAACTGAGGTTATAACACTTTATTCCTTGCACTAAAAGCTCTTCCTCCCTAGTACAGTGGACCATTTTTCTTGACTTCTATCAAGGTTCCTCCTCCTCAGAAGTAAAGTGACAGGGGGGACAAGAAAAAGGAACTTTGAGCTTCCCCTAAAAGTCTGAGTATGTAGCTCAGAGAACTGTTTCATAAAACAGACTTCTTTAGTACTCCAAATAACTTTTTACCTACACTGTTCAATATGGTAGCCCCTAACCACATGTGGCATTTATAGTTTAAAATTAAAAAAATTGGGGCGCCTGGGTGGCTCAGTTGGTTAAGCGTCTGCCTTCGGCTCAGGTCATGATCCCAGGGTCCTGGGATCGAGCCCCGCATCGGGCTCCCTGCTCCGCGGGAAGCCTGCTTCTCCCTCTCCCACTCCCCCTACTTGTGTTCCCTCTCTCGCTGTGTCTCTCTCTGTCAAATAAATAAATAAAATCCTTAAAAAAAAAATTAATTAAATTAAAAAAATTAAAGGGGCGCCTGGGTGGCTCAGTCGGTTAAGCATCCGACTCTTAATTTCAGCTCAGGTCCTGATCTCAGGGTGTGAGATCGAGCCCCGTGTCAAGCTCTGTGCTCTGCGTGGAGCCTGCTTGTCCCTCTCTGTTCCTCCCCCGCTCACTCTATCTCTAAAATAAATAAAATATTTTTTAAAAATTAAATTAATTAAAACAAAACATAATTTAAAATTCAGTTCCTCAGGCACACTAACCACATTCCAACATCGCAACAGCCACAAGTGACCGGTGGCTATCAGACTGAACTGCGTTAGATACAGCACATTTCCATCATCACAGAAAGTTTTACTAAACAGCAGTGTTTGTACTATGTGCTTTCTAAATTCTTTTTTCCTTTAACATATCCTCTTAATGAAGGATTCATAGTAATTTCACTCCACTCTTCACTAGATTTCCCAAAATGCCAAGAAATAAACTTGGAAGCCTATTCATCCAAAGTTTTAACATGTGCTTGTTAGACCTTTTACCTCCTAAACTGAAAGACTGTAAGTGTATGGTCAGTAGTCTAAGATGGTCTATTCTCTTAAGATACACATCAAGCCTGTATCAGATTCACAAGCAGACAAGCATTCTGGAACACACAAGCTTCTGGGTGACAGCGGCATGGGAACAACAGAAGAGGAATATGTCAAAAATGGAAGCAAACAAATCTGACTAAATCCTTCTTACAAACTATTTGGTATACCGTATTTCTTGGAAATCTTTCAATGATAGTACAGAGGGACCGTCTTGGCTGCAAACCCCAGAGGAAAGTCCTCAGAAATTGGTGAAGTCTATTAAAATGCTTATACAGGGACAAAGGTATCTTCTGGCTCCATGTCATCTTTACCCTACTGGTTCTTGCAAACAAATAATGACAAGGCTTGAGAGCTAAAATGAAAGACCAAATGTACTACATGTCATTTGTCTGTTAAAGTATGAAATTTGTCCTAAAGATTATGACAATGATTGATGAGTAAATCTAAGAAATCTCCCTAAAAGACTGGTCATTTTGTTTGCTAGGCAGAAGACTCCCAACCAGTTTTAAATTTGTCTGATGAGCAACCCGTACTGATCCAGCAAAGACAAGCTTTTTAGGTCATACAATCACCTTGCTTTTCATCTCAAGGCAGAGCTAGAAGTACACATCTGTTTCAAAGACCTAAAGCCAACTCTCAAGAGGCAAATTTTTGGAGAACACCCAAAAATATGGGACTTGAGAATTAGTTTTGCAGTGCATCAGATTAACTGACTGAAGTGTGAATACAGCATCTGGCTCCGAAGTGAATGCTTTCATGAATGCCAAGTCTAGATAGATCTTTCAAATACTACAGTATGGACTGTGATGAGATCTCTCCCTCCTTTGAAGTCATCACATTTATTGTCTGCTTTAGTCATATGACACTTAATCAAATACTGCATCACATACCATCCCTTGTGTTGTAGAGTTTTTTAACTCTTTGATGTGTGTATACAGACTTCAAGTGCACTGTAAGCTCTTGGACTGTATATTACAATTCTTTTATTTATCCTAACATCTAGCATACAGCCCTGCACACAGTAAGCACTCAAGTACTTGGTGGATGGAGATGGGGAGAAAAGGACTATAGAAGAGAAAAATCATGCAATGACCAGACAGAAAACCACCTTATTATGTGCTTCTCTGACTCCAAAATTAGGCTGGAATTGTTAGTGGACAAATTTTCTTCTGGCAAACAAACAAAAAAAACAACAACAAAACTTCAGAACCAAACAATCTGTGGAGTAAGGCAGTCTCAAACACATCCATTTCATCCAAATGGCTGAACAAATACCAGTAACAGGACATGTCAGACTTCAAAATGAAAACCTTTACAGCAATAAACAAATGTTTCTGTGTGACTTTAAGCTAAAATCCTGTGCACTTAGAAATATACATATTTACTTGGATAGTATTCAAAAATAGTACTCTGGTAGCAAAATCCAAGAGTTACTAATTTCAAAATTTACAATTTTAATAGACAGGAAATCTAAAACACAGTCCAGAAAAGGGAAGCGATGTGCTTTCAGTTTATTCAGGAAGATGGCCAGGGAAGAGGCTGGGCTAGCACTCAGCTTTCTGATGCCTTCTTAGGATGAGATGGAAGGCTGCTACATCAACATGCTGAAACTAGGATTAAAGGAAAGTTACTGTATATCTCTTCCCTCCTTTCAAACTTAGAAGACATTATTTACGGAGTTTTCATAATTGAGTTTTAATAAATATTCCAAATACATTCAGCCAGAAATTTAATTGACACACATGATGTTCCTTCCCTGTGAGCCTCTGCCATGAGTTCACATTTAAGTGAGCACGTTAGTCTGTTTAAGAAGTTCCTCATGGTCCATATCTTCCTGCACTACTTCTTTTCTATTTTATAAAATCTAAAGCAAAAAAGATTGTTGAATTTCTTTTTGCAGTTCTCATCAAGACAATAAAGTAAAAGAAGAGATTTCTGAATTATTCATTCTAAACAGGCATTTCTGAAACTGGGATCTAAAGATTTGTTTTCAGGGATTTGAGATTCTCTGACGATATTTTTAAGGTTGTGTTTTTATTTTCATAAATATATTCTGGATTACTTGGACATCCACCTCATAACTGTGTAAGGTTATTATTTCAGTGACAACATTTGCTTCTATGCTTAAGATTACATTCATGGTAAGTCTTCTGGAGGGACAGAGCTTAGTTTTCAATGCAAAATTTTTCAAACGGGGGTTTCAAAAGTCTATGTCTTTGGATTAAAGTTTAAGTAACACTGATCTAGATTTCTATACGTCCCAAAATTCTCCTTCTAGACTTTACTTGGTAAATTTAATAAATATGTATCCAGTGTCTATAATGTGCTAGGCACTGGAGATAGAGTAGTGAATAAGAGAAACCAGAACTTGCCTTATGGAGCTTATAATTCTGGCAGGAAAGGCCAACATTCTTAATGAAGCAATCTGGTTCCTTGGTTGAAATCACTTAATAAGTAGAGAAAAAACACACACAGTTATCTGTCCTCCTTGTCAACTACAACTGTTGATTAGGAATCCATTAGCATCAACATATTTTCAAAATATTCTAAGAGCTTGAGGTCAATTTGGTCTTACCTATTTGAAAACAGGTAAACTGATCCTCTTTTAAAAATTCTTCAGAGAAGCTCAATCTCCTTTCCTTGCTTTAGGTTATGCTTCTCATAACCAGACAAAGATGTAACCCAACAAGGTATTTCCTGGTTATTGAGAAACAATTTTATGGAGAGATTTATAGTCAGTGAGGTTTTGATAGCACAACACTTTTTCTGTTCGATTGGGAAATTTCTACGGACAAAAATCGATCAAGCTAAAACAGCTGCAAATGCCTAAGTACACTTCTAAGTCAAGAAAAGTTGATGGGTGGATGCTAACCAGCACAGTGCAAAAACTCACCCAGAAATTTAACCTTGATGACCTTGAAATCGAATTTGTAACTCTATTCTTTAATAGAAAAATGAATGAGATTCAGGAAACAGTGGCTACTATTAGGTACTACTTTAGTCCTGTCTATAAACAATTATTTTAATGACACCTTGTTAGGCTGGGGGGGGGGCAGGGAAAGAGGGGGCATAAGAAGACCTAAAGGTACATGTTATCAAGTATACCAATTCAATTTTGTAAATGAGAAATGGGTGCCAAATTCCTTGAACAATAGTTAGTAAGTTTGAAATATCTCAGTTTCTGACCCAGATTTTCTAAGCAACATTGCCCCAGGATGAATACTACATGAGCCAAGATCTCCCCAACTCTGGAGCAATCTCTGACTTCAGTGTGATTGCGATTGTTTTCACTGGGTTTTTACCCCCAAAGAGCTCTGGAAAAAGTGTCAACCCTATCAGAAAAGAAGTACACACATAACTATGACTTTTACCAAGAAGTAGTTCATTGAAAACTGGGAGGAAGAATCCTAACAGAATCTTTTAGCAAACACTATGATGAGGGAACTAGCTTACAATTCCCTAGCTGCCCATAATACAAACCTGAAAGCCTAGATTAAAAGTCAATAGAAACAGCGAAAAGATAACCTGGCTGGTGATAAAAATTTCTAGCCCAAATTAATCCTCTGTAGTTAAACATTCAGATACACAACGATAGCCAGATGCACACTGAGAGCTTTACTTGTCACCACATCCGGCACAATAGCTAATTAAGCAGGGAAAAACTGGCTTTCATGAAGGAGCTTAGTCAGAAACATAGCAGGGCCTCAAGCCAATCTAACTCTGGAGGCATCGACACTCCACAAATTCCACACCAACTCTCAGCCAGGCTAACTTTAATTGCGCCCCTAACTCCACGATAACAATACACTAGCTGACTGCAATCAAGCCTTTCCAATTCTCCAAAGCATCTCAAGTCTTACTCGTCCTTCGAAGCTCAAGTTAGAAGCAAGGCGACTGACACAAAGGCCAGTCGTCCAAAGGCGCTTTTTGCATGGCTCTGCACTGCCACTCATTTGAAAATTCCTAAACTGGGGGCTCACCGGCCCCCCTCTTCTACCCTTCCTCAAAGCCGCCCCGGCTGGTAAGCCTCTGCCTGGGAGCCCCTCAGCCTGGAACAAAGCGAGGGGCCCCGGCGGCGGGGGCGAGAGGCGCCAGCGACACGGGGACTGCCGCACAGCGCACAATGAGAAACTACCAACTTCAGAGCGCAGGAACATCCTCAATTGGCAAGAAAGAGGGGCGGCGGCAGGCACGCCCAACTTCAAACTCAGGAAACCTACGGGCTGGCGGCCATCTGGAAAAAAGCCCCCTTCCCAGGGAGAGAAGAAAAAGGCGGAGGAGATGCGAATCACCCACCGGGCCCCGGAGGGGAGCCCTGCGCTCAGACCGGCCCCCGCCCCCGAGGCCCGCTTCCCCGCCTTCTCTCTGCCTCTGGTTCGCTGCCCCAGGCCGGGCGGCCGGTTACCTTGATGCGCTCCCGGCACTGGGACGGGGTCCGCTCGTAGCCCAGCTCGGCCAGGGCCCGGGACACGCGCTCGTACATGGCTGGCCCAGGGGCCTTGCTGCCGAACACCGTGCCGGCTCCCTCCAGCTGCTGGTACCGCGCTTCCACCAGCCGCTCGTTGCCCCACACTGCGATGAGCGCGTTCGTCTCGGCCGGCGTCCACGACATGCCCCGGCAGGCGGCGGCGGCGGCTGCCGCAGCCCCGCCACCGCCGCCACCAGGGGAGAAGGAGACCGAGGACGAGGCGGCGCTGCGGCCCCCCAGCCCCAGCCCGAGACCCCCGGACGCCGCTGCCCCTGAGCCCGCCGCGCTGCCCGGCCCGAGCGGGGAGGCACCCCGAGGCGTGGACGGGTCGGACAGCGATGGATTTCCGTCGCTCAGGCCACCAGGAGAAGCCGGGGAGAGCACCTCCATCTTCGGGATTTTTAGCGGCGAGTTGGCGGGCAGCTCCGAGCCACAGGGCGCAGCCATCTTCCAAGCGGCCGCCGCTGCACCGCCCGGAAGTGACGCGCCCGCGCATCCGGCCGCCGCGGTCTCCGGGGCTGCCCTCGGGCCTGGCTCGGCTGTGGGCGGGCGGCTTCGGGCTCCTGCTCGCGAGCGGAGGCTGTCCGCTCCGCCCGGCTTCTCTCCGCGAGCCCTACCGCGCCGCCCGCTCCTCTCCCGGGGCGAGGGGCGGGGGTGAGGCGCGCCGAAGCCCCGAGCTGAAGAGAAGGGTGGGGGCATGAGGGCGCTGGCGTGAGGAGCAGATTGGAGCCTTCCCACTTCCTCTCCAGTCTCAGCCCCCGGGAGGAGGGGTGAGGCCCGCGAGGGGGCCCGGAGTTAAGGAGGACTTGACCATTTCGCTCGCTGGCTCTCCTCTCGCCCTCCGCTCTGCCTCTCCTCCCTCCAAGCTGGCCTCGGGGTGCAGAGGCTGACGTCCAGGGCGGAGACTGGGGAAGCCTGCGGAGGGTGTATCCAGGAAGCAGCAAGGCTGAAGGGGTGCATTTCTGGGGGAGGCTTTAAAAAAGCAGTTTGGGACCGGCGTTAGAGTTGGTACTCGGTGGCTTTTCAAGAAACCCGTGCGCATTATTTGAAGAACAGCAGCTCTGACTCAGTTAAGATCTATTTTCCAGTTTGCCCGGGTAGCCGTGACGATTTGTAGAAAAATGAGATGTCTTTATCGCGTTTGTAGTTCGTAGCTTAAATACGTTAGGAACCCTGGAGCCCGGCAGGAAAGTTACTTTCCAATACCATTCCCCATCCTAATTTGGAAGTTGCATCATTTTCCTACTTTCCTACTGTATTTCACACTCTGGAGTGTAAGGAGATTGACAAGACTGTCAATTCTGGCAACTCTTGTGACCTCTAGTAATTAGTGTATTAACCGTTCCTGAATACTCCTCAAAGTGCTGCAAATCCAATACATAGCTGAAAGGTATTTCAATACTCTTCAAAGCCAAAAATCTAATTGTCTATTAAATCTAGTTATCTTGGATCCTTAACTTAAAAAGCCTCAGCGGATCTTTTTTCAAATATGAATAAGCCATGCGATATTTTTTTTAAAATCAAATATACATTAAGTTTTTTTTTTAAATAGAGTTGAGGTCACCTACATTTAAACTCAGAATCACTCGAGAGAGAGAGAGAGTGATATGGTTAGGAAGCCAAAGGGAATAAGCAATGGGGATGAAGTAGCGGAGATAACTGTATTTCACTTTTTTTTTTTTAAGATTTTATTTTATTTATTTGACAGAGAGAGAGAGCAGGAACACAAGCAGGGGGAGCGGGAGAGGGAGAAGCAGGCTTCCTGCCGAGCAGGGAGCCCTATGTGGGGCTCGATCCCAGGACCCTGAGATCATGACCCGAGCCGAAGGCAGACGCTCAACGACTGAGCCACCCAGGCGCCCCGTGGATTTTATTTATTTGACAGAGAGAGACACAGCCAGAGAGGGAACATAAGCAGGGGGAGTGAGAGAGGGAGAAGCAGGCTTCCCGCCGAGCAGGGAGCCCTATGTGGGGCTCGATCCCAGGACCCTGGGATCATGACCTGAGCTGAAGGCAGACGCTTAACGACTGAGCCACCCAGGCGCCTGTATTTCACATTTCAATGCCACCATAGTTTTTTTTTTTTTTTTTTTTTAAGATTTTTTATTTATTTATTTGACAGAGAGAGGCACAGCGAGAGAGGGAACACAAGCAGGGGGAATGGGTGAGGGAGAAGCAGGCTTCCCACCAAGCAGGGAGCCCGATGTGGGGCTCGATCCCAGGACCCTGAGATCATGACCCCAGCCGAAGGCAGACGCTTAACGACTGAGCCACCTAGGCGCCTGTATTTCACATTTCAATGCCACCATAGTTTTAAGTTACCAGTATGAGGTATCATAAAGACGTTCCAGAATTTATGCTACCTTTCCTCTTTTTCTAAGAAAAAGATAGTCAAGCACCATGGTTAAGAGTATGGATTCTAGAGGTGTCCAGATGGCTCAGGCGGTTAAGTGGCTGCCTTTGACTCAGGTCATGGCCCCAGAGTCCTGGATGGAGTCCTGGGATGGCGCCCCCATCCGGCTTCCTGCTCAGCGGGGAGTCTGCTTCTCCTTCTCCCTGTGCCCCTCCCTGCCTCTCGTGCTCGCTCTCTCTCTCTCAAATAAATAAATAAAATCTTAAAAAAAAAAAAAGTATGGATTCTAGAGTCAATGTCTGGCTTCAAATTCCAGTTCTGCAACCTCAGCCAATTTACTTAAGCAATCTCTCAGTACCTTGGTTTCTTTGTTTTTAAAATGACCTCACAGCATTGTTGTGAGTAGATGAGTTAATACAGGTAAAGCCCTTAGAATGGTGCCTGGTTCGTAGTAAACAGTGTATGACCTATTACCTCACTTTGGCTACGCAGTAGTCCCCTCTTCTGTGCGGTTTCACTTTCAGGGTTTCAATTACCAGTGCCAAAGGCAGTCAGGAAAGCAAATCATCCTCCTGATCTATGGTCAGAAGGTCAATAGTAGCCTAAGGCTGCCTCACCATGCCTCTGTCATTCACCTCTCATCATCTCATCATGTAGGCAATTTATCATCTCACATCATCGCAAGAAGGGTGAGGACAGTACAATCAGATATTCTGAGAGAGAGGAACGAGATTCACATAACTTTTACTACAACACATTGTTATAATTGGTCCATTATTATTGTCATTAATCTCTAACCATGCCTAATTTATAAATTAAACTTTATCATAGCTATGTATGCATAGGAAAGAGCATAGTACATGTAGAGTTGGGGACTGTGTGCACTTTCAGGCATCCACGGGAGGTCTTGGAACAATCCCCTGTGGATAAAGAGGACTACTGTACTTTAGTTAATAGAGAATCTTCCCTTTGTCGCTTTCTCGCCATCACTAGTTTTCAGTGTCTTCATTGTCAGTTCTTTTAAGGGCTCTGGTGGCATCTCAAACACCTGTCAAAGCAAAATTCACTCTCATTCAGCCCAACAGTAAGTTTTTTAATGTCATAAGGTATTTAATGTTTATGAAAAGGAGAATCACGCCTAGATCAGAGACGCCGAAGAGTTTTAAAATCACTGCTTATCCTGCTCTCATTTTCCCACAAGCCTGAAAAAGATCCTCCCTCCTTCTATTGTTAATTCTGGATGATTCTCAAATCAACTCTGACTCATGCAGGAAGCCTTCCTAGATAAAGTGGGTTGACTGGGAAGTCTCCCTTCCCACAAACTTCTGTTTCTAGACATTATTTCTCTATACCCCCCCCTTTATTCCCACACTCATCAGTCTATCCAATGAGAAAAAGCATCAAAAATAAAATTTCCAGTAACATCCTGAGGTTAAAATTAATTCAATAACATAAAAGCTATTAATATGTACTACACTGTGGAGGCATTGCTATATAGGCAACCTGGATCATGTGCTTGTCACGTTGGCTTGCCATGGCTGATTCTGGATTCCAGGCGCTGTGTGACAGGCTTGCTCAAGGCTTCATAGTTCAATCAGAATGTATGGAATGTGTTTGAAGTCATGTACTGTACCTTTTATTGTGGATTCAGTTGATAGCATAAATAGATAAAAACCTATTTGAGAGATAATGTATGCAACGTCTCAATGTGCAAATGAATACAGAACGATACACGGTAATCGACCTATAAACTGTCAGCTCCTCCCTTTAATTGTATCCCTTCCCTTTTCCACTTCTTCCACAATCTGTGCCCAGGATTTGTGTCTCAGCTTTTCTTTCTTTTTTTTTTTTTATTGATTATCTTCCCCATACTGTATCTTTTATTCCCATGACTTACTCATCCCGTAACTGGAAGCCTGTATCTTCCACTCCCCTTCACCTGTTTTGCCCATTGCCCTACCTCCCTCCCCTCTGGCAACCATCACTTCATTTTCTGTATTTACAAGTCTGTTTCTGCTTTTTGTTTGTTTGCTTGCTTTTTTTTTTTTTTTTGGATTCCTCATATACATGAAATCATATGCCATTTGTCTTTCTCTGTCTGACTTATTTTACTTAGCATAATACTGTCTAGGTCCATCCATGTTGTCACAAAGGGCAAGATCTCATCTTTTTTTTTTTTTTTTTGGCTGAGTAATATCCATTGTGTATATATACCACCTCTTCTTTATCTATTCATCTGTCGATGGACACTCAGGTTGCTTCCATATCTTGGCTATTGTAAATAACGCTTCAATAAACACAAGGGTGTATATATCTTTTCAAATTAGTGTTTTCATTTTTCTTTGGGTAAATATCCTATTGTAGAATTACTGGATTATATGGTATTTCTATTTTTAATCTTTTGAGGAAACTCCATACTGTTTTTCACAGTGGTGGTTGTACCAATTTATGTTCCACCAATAGTGTATGAGGGTTCCTTTTTCTCCACATCCTCACCAACATTTATTTCTTGTTTTTCTTATTCTAGCCATTCAGACAGGTGTAAGGTGATATCTCATTGTGGGTTTGATTTCCATTTTCCTTCTGATGGGTGATGTTAAGCATCCTTTTCACGTGTCTGTTGGCCATCTGTATGTCTTCTTTTTTTTTTAAATTTTTTTTCTTTTAAAGATTTTATTTATTTATTTGAGAGAGAGAGAGTGAGAGAGAGAGCCCAAGAGGGGGTAGGGTCAGAGGGAGAAGCAGACTCCCTGCTGAGCAGGGAGCCCGACGTGGGACTCGATCCCAGGACTCCGGGATCATGACCTGAGCCGAAGGCAGTCGCTTAACCAACTGAGCCACCCAGGCACCCCATCTGTATGTCTTCTTTGGAGAAATGTCTGTTGAGATTCTCTGCCCAATTTAAAAATTTTATTTAATTTGAGAGAGTGAGCGAACGCAAGAGCAGGGGCAGGGGCAGAAGGAGAGGGAGAGAGAGAATCCCACGCAGACTCCCTGCTGAACACGGAGCCCTGAGATCATGACCCTGAGATCATGACCTGAGCTGAAATCAGGAGTCAGAGGCTCAACTGACTGAGCCACCCAGGGACCCCTCCTCTGCCCATTTTTTAATGGGGTTATTTGGGGTTTTTTTAGTGTTGAGTTGTAGAAGTTCTTTATATAGTCTGGAGATTAACTCTTTATCGGATATATCATTTGCAAATATCTTCTCCCACTGGTTAGGTTGCCTTTTTATTTTGTTAATGGTTTCCTTCTCTGTGCAAAAGCTTTTTATTTTGATGTAGTCCCAGTAGTTTATTTTTGCTTTTGTTTCCCTTGCCTTAGGAGATGTGTCTAGAAAAATGTTGTTATGGCTGATGTCAAAGAGATTACTGCCTGTGTTCTATACTAGGAGTTTTATGGTTTCAGGTCTCACATTTAGGTTCTTCATCCATTTTGAGTTTATTTTTGTGTACTGTGAAAAAAAGTGGTCCAGTTTTCTTCTTTTGCATGTGGCTGTCCAGTTTTCCCAGCACCATTTGTTGAAGAG